ACACACACACACATTCTTGTTTTGCTATTTTAGTGAGGACATCTCATTGACATAATGCTTCTCTAGCCGCTTACCCAAACCATAACCTAACTGTAACCCTGACACTAAACCACAGAAATACCTTCACACTCATTATACTAACATTCAAATTTTTGGACCCCACAAAGACATCTAAACAGGTACACACACACACACACTGCTGTAAGTCCTCAGTGTCCCACCTCTGGGCTTGTGGCAGGCCACGGGGACCAGGCAGTCCTCCTTCACGTGAGGCTTGAGTGACGGTTGGCAGCCTCCGACGTGCTGCCCGCGGTGGTCGATGCACAGAACCACTCGGTAGCGCAGCCCTCGGCCACACGTCACCGTGCACTGCGACGGGTAACACACACACACACGTTAACCATGTTCAGTAATTAAGGCTGCATCAAACTCTTGCTGTCAGTGAATCGAGCGCTGATTGACGCGTTGGTCACTGATCGTTTGAACATCACTCATCCAGAAACACTTTAACTGCTTAGACACAGTCAGAGTCTGACCTGCCACTGCAATGGTGAGTCCGTTTTTAGACATGCACCACATGCAGTGAGACGTGTGATGTTTCTACAAAACACCCTGTTATAAATGTAAGGCAGTAGTAAACAGCATAGTGGATGTTGCTTTGTAAATCACTGACTATAAGTTCAGAAGTGATTTTGTTTTATAACCTTGCAGCAGCTCTGATTATACTTCATGATTATAATCACTGACCTGTGACCACTCCATGGCCACCCACTGGGGGCAGGCGAAGGTGTTGCAGATCTGTCGGACGACAGGTCGCGGGGAGTGCGTGCACTTCCACTCGTCCACCTGGGAGAACTGCCCGTGGGCGTCCTCCTCCACGCACAGCACACTGCGATCCTGCCAGCCCCCATTTTCACCACAGGACACTGAGCACTGGGTCCAGGGGCCCTGCTCCCAGCTGTGCACACACAGAAGAGGCTCAATGAGTTTTATGTACCCAGATACTAAGTAAGGTGGAGGTGAGGAGGGGGCAGAACCTTCCTGCATGGAAAGAAACACCGGGAAGTGTGGAGGACGTCATTCAGCAGCGAGATCAGCAGCACCTGTGACAGGCAGCTTTAAAATCACTCGACTTCAAACCAGAGAACAAAAACTCTCATATTTTTAGACCCTTTCCTTCCCCCTGTCCTCGCTGCTTTCATGTCTGATCAAAGGTCACCTTATTTCATAAAATCTGTGAGAATAATCTTAATAAGTAATGATGTAATAACATTTATGCACCAACGTGGAACACGTCTGAATCCCGTTCCTTTCCCTGGAAGCCTCGTGTGGATCAGTGCAGGCCCACATCCGACACAGGTGGGAACACGAGGGTGGGGGGAGACGGAGAGGCAGGAACGTGTCGCCTGAAATACGAAGCAACTCTGACACTTTTCCACAGCTAATGTCGATTCCACTTTGCACTTATGTAAGCTATAGATTCAGCACTCAGTGAGTACAAGCACGCCGTTACACTCTGTCACACAGAAAGGAGGTCAGGGACATTAACGAGGCCATTTCAGGACAATTAAGACTGCAGGACTCTGTCTCATTATGTTGTAATTAAATTAGATAAGTGTGGTGATTAACAGTCTGTCTCATTGCAAGTGGTGCATCAGCCTCGATAGACTGCAATCAATGCGCGTTCCACATCCGACGGCTTTTAGAGCTGGAAGCATCGCTGCATAACTGTCTTTGTCTTTCTCCAGCTCCTTTTTCAAACCAGGCTGTCTGCAGACACGCTCATTATGCAACTCTGCTGACAATGACAACGATGTCTAATGCTTCTAATGCAGTCCAACAAAATGCTGGAGATTTGCACACTGCGAGTTCAAAGGTAGGTCAAAGGTTAGAGTGGCCGATGGGTGCACACAGTTCAGGACTGGGGGTTTATGTGCTGCACGGTGTATACGCGAGGCTACACTCATAGAGATGCTTTCATCTGCACAAAGTTTGCAGCTTTAAGTGTGTGTTTCTGGAAAATACACACATTTTAAATGAAGCTCTTCAGAATATCTACATTTATATGCATGCATGTAAAAATCTTACAACAAACAAGGTTCCCAATGAAACCCTAGACCCTCACTGTGCACCAAGACCGGAGCTCCGCCTCCTCAGACGGTCTGTTAGTACAGTGAGCTCACAGCAGCCATGTTATTGGTCACATGATATCAGTAAAATGCTCCAACAGCACAAACAGGGTGCAGAGGTCCAGTTCAGGTGAAGCTAGCAGACAGCTAGCAGAGGCCACAAAGAGGCCACGCCCCTAATAATGCAAATTTTAAGCCTTAATAAGCTTTAAACAGGTGAGTTATAAAACCATCCTCCCCCTGTACAGGTGTTATGAAGGAGAAATGACCCACAGAGACAAAACAGTTTGTTTCTGCTGTGAAGTTTTAACGTGGGAGTCTATGGGGACTGACTCACTGCTGCCTCTGCTGGACGTTAGAGGTACTGCAGGCTTTGCCACTTTAATTTTGAGGCTCTAAATATGACACCGTCACGTCAAAAATAATAATTCTCTCCTCTGTTAGAGCGTAACAGTCACCAGTGAGACCAGCGCAGCAGTCGCTGCTGAGCTGGAGCTCCACATGCATGAACTTATTTTTGGGAGGAACTCCAAAATTCAAACACAAACGGTGGAGCTCTGTCTCCCTAAAGAACAGAAAAGAGGCTTTTGTTGATTGAAGGGTAACGCTGTGGAACACCACGGAGGAACTCTTTCATTTTTCTCACGATTGAAGATGAAAAGTCAGATTTTTGTGGAAGGAAGATTTTTTTTAAATAACTCACAATGTGTAAACTCAGAAAAAATCATCTTAGCAAAAACTAACAAAGTATTTTTAACTATAACTGAAAATCTGATCGCAGTGGTTTGAGCGTCTTGTGTGAGACTCTAACGTAATTTATTTTTACTTTCGAGTGCGTCGAGGTTCGTTTAACGCTTTGATTTTATCTCGAGAGTTAGAGGTACTCACCGAGGCAGAGGCTGGAAGCGGTCATGAGGCATCACTGCTTTGAATCCATCACTGCAGGAGACAAATGTGACAATGATAACCACACAGCAGGCTCAGAGGTCAAACTGTACATGATAAGTGCCACTTTTGTCCTTCAAAGTCAGAATAAAGTAATCGGGTGTGAAAGGCAAACGCTGAAGACGTTGTTATTTAGGATCACTGCTTCTTAGTTTGATGATAAACGT